AGAGTCCAGACTCTTGAAAACATTGACAAGAAAAAGGACTCTTGATTCAATCAGATTTAAGCTTAAATTAAAAAATTAAACACTAAAAAGTGGCCCGAAATTGTATTTAACAAGGTGGAGAAATGGTGCTGGGTCCACACCATTTCGCGGGGAAACAAAGCCAAGAAATACCAAAAATTAAAATTAGAGTCAAAAATAAATTTTTAGAACTCTAATGCGCACCAGTATGAATGCGCACCAGTTTAAGCTTAAATCGAAAGGAAATCTGCTCAAATTAAGAGGATTGGTTCTTGATTGAAGCTTAAATCTGATTGAATTAGGGGTATTTTTTCTTGTCGATGTTTTTCAGAGTCTGAACTCTAGATCCAATGTGTTTTTTTCCAGTGTTTGAAATGAATATTTTTGGCGGGGTAACTTGGCAAAATTCGAATATCCATACTGCCGTGCTATGGAAGAACGCCGTATGAGCCTTCGAACGCTGCCAAGTTTCCACCCATAAAAAACCAATTTCCTGGATAAATTGTGAAAATTATTTTCCAAAACTTTTAGACAATTTTGTACGCAATTTAAAATATCTGAAAATTTCAAGGAAAAATATGCATAAATTTTTTCAAAAATACATGTTTCATCAAGGGAAATTTGGCAAATGCAGATGTTCATACGGCGTTTTTCCTTATCACGGCAGCATACGGCGTTTTACGGCAGCATTCTTATCGGATCTGCGATGGCGGCGTGCCGCAAGGTCACGACATTCGGCCAAAGCCGGACCTTTGCACCGGATCGTCGCCCATCTAACGTGAAAGGCATATCTCAATTTTTATGTGAGCCCTATTTTACATATAAACCCATGCTTTCTAGGGTTCATGCGGAAATCGAGATACGCGTTTAGGTCGGAGGAGCGACGCGATGTCCGAGCGGACTTTTTTCACCGATTCTGGTCGAGTTTATTGCCGCTTTTAAGCCCCGCATCTTCCTACGAGATCACCGCTCACCTATTTCACCACATATTATGACTTATGCCAGTCTCCCGCTTTGCGAGGGATCTGACAGCACCTGACATTTACGGTCATTTATCTTCTCATTAGTCGCGTGGCGTCTTCTCCGCGGAGGTAAATCAAATTTTATCCCCCGATATTCCGGAAACATTGCGTAAGTCCGAAAGAATGGTAGCCATACGAAATCAGTTTCGCCTCCTCGTCCAGATAATCGGACTTATTTGAGGACGTTTATTTCGGCGGGATTTCGCAATGAGAACAGAGTGGAGCTCTTTCATGCAGTTGAGGTTTGCGATTTAAACGCCCGAGTCTACGTATCGGTCAGAAACAGATACACACCCGCAGTATTGATTGCCCGTGCATGATGCAAGGTGTACTTTCGGGGATCAATACAGCGCTTAATGATGACCGATGAAAAAGATTTCGCGCAATCGCGGTTTTGCATATGCGCAGCCAAACTCGTTTACGAACCAAAACCCTACCGCATCCATGATGAAAGTCATAAACGCTTTGATAATAAAGGCGGTTCTTAACGTATAGGAAAAATTCCTGCTACTTGCAGAGTAAGGAGACAATGATTACTTTAGTTCTTTAAGCGGAATCGGCTAATGTTGGATACGATGATTCATTCCATGTCGTGTACATGATCTAGCTCTACACTTCCAATTTGTTAAACTTTGAATAAACTATAGTCAGTGCTTGATGATTTTCAATCCAAAATTTTCATTAGAGAGAAGCGTTAGAAAAATACACGTATTATCAAGGGAAATTAGGCAACACTCGAATGTTCATACGGCGTTCTTCCTTAGCACGGCAGAATAGGAAGTTTTCACGTTATGAAATGGTTTACTTTTCTAACGCTGCGTTAAAGTCTCCCAGCTTTCCTGTGTTTCCTGACTCATTAAAGGTGTTGGACAAGGAAAGTCCCTCACCATGGCTGTGCGACCAACTGAACTGGAGGGATATGGAGTTGTCACTTCATGAAATGGTTTACTTTTCTAACGTTGCGTTCAAGCATCCAAGCGTGTTAGTTAGCGTTTCAAAGGAGAGTGTAACATTTATACACCGCCTATGTCAATCCGCCGTTTAAACTTCTACTCTATCAAAAACTGTAATGCCAAGTTCAAAATGGGACCTGAAAACTGAATGATTTATCAAAATCTAACCAAATATCCCAAGCAGACTTCAATGAATTGCTTCATTTTGAGCTTCTATTTTGAGCGTGAAATCGCAGCTGGGGAGCTCGGGCTCAGAACGGAATATTTTAGTGACTCCGCTTTGACAGCCTCTTATAATGTAAGATTTTTTTAGAGAACCATCGGTATTCTAATTGATCAATGACTGATGAGAAATGTATGGAACGCTTCAAATTTTCAATATGAAAGGGCAGGTCACAGGGCACTAAAAGTGTACGTCAACGTGTTAAACACGACATGCATTGACACGGTGGCCAAATCCCAAAGCAACGTATTCCGATTGAAACGTTTCACAATTCCTACGTATACTTTATTTTTCCACAAGGAAACGAATCAACAGTACCATTCAGTATGGCTTAATTTTTTTTGCTGATTTCTCATATGGTCGTCCTGCAATATTTGAGGCCATTGATATTCTTCACTTCTTTCTCTAAAAATAAATAATGCGAGGAAATGTCACGAAAAATCACGGAATTATGAGTTAAAAATGTTTTTGAGTTCCACGAACCGTTTATTTTCTCCTGCCAAAAACTAAGAGTCGGAAAAAAGAAATTAGTTTGGGAAAAGAGGGGTTAGGGTTTATTTTTTACTTTGAGCCTCATGCCGAAATAACACTTCAAACCTCTTTTTCTTAGTTTAAACTCGATGAGGGTCGGATCCTTTCTGATGAATTCGGTCCATTTAGAATAGAAATTTCAAAATATTTTCGTCTCACTGGGAATTTGTCCAGATGTTCTTGGAAGAAATCGTGCTAACCATCTTCCAACGCCCATGGCAAATGCATTTGCTGTGAGGAACACCGTTTTTCGGATCTGAGAATATTGTGAACGTGCTTTATGCAGTTTGGCAGCGCTGCCTAGCGGCGGCGGATCGAAGCAAATTAGTAGCCTGTGCTCGTGTGTTCGCTACCAGGTAATTATCAACAACTTCTGGATCCAATTTTCAATTTTGCACCACCCGTAGGCCTTTGCCCCATCAGGGCCCTCGATCTACACATTAGGAGGAGTGGTGTTCCGCGGCCCACAGTCTCTCCAAACCAAAAATTATTGATATTATCAAAAAGTGTCTCTTAAGGAAGATTCTTAAACTCCCATAAATATTACTGACGTGATGCTTCAAATATTGTATCGTTTTCCGCGTGCTTGTAGCGCTCCAGTATTTCTCCTTGGAGCTCACATTTAACGAAACACGGTTTGCTGAAATTAAATGAGGGTAGTATCATGAAGCACAATTGCCAGATAGTGCTAAAAAATCAGCACTATCCCCCGTTAAAAAACATGTAAAATATCTATATTTAATCGCACAGTCTGGTAACTTTGCATGAGAATCAGACGAGGAAATTCGGATTCAAGATCCGGTTGGATCCTCAATTTTAGTTTACGATTCAATTAGGGTTCCTGGTTCCTAAGTAGTCTAACCCCTGATGAGCGCTTAGTGCCAAAGGCGAGGCGTGAATGATCGATTCTGTATTTCTAGAAATGCATCCCTTTACTGGAGTCAGATTATAAGATTTTTGCATTTTACCTTAATCTTTCAGGTTTGATATTCAATCAATCGCCTTATTTTTGAACATTGCAGTCGCGTAATTATATATATAAAAAAAAAATTCCCCCTCGAATTTGTGGTGCAGTGTGCACTCAATCTCATGTACGTGCGATGCGGAAAAAGTGAAATTGAGGAAAGTGGGATTTGCATAATTTATTTTTGACAGACTTCATGAATATATACGATGCCATAAAATCATAATTATTTGCTCTCGCGCAAAAGCAGCAATTAGTGTCCGGCCACGTGCATTCTAGATTTTACTGCATTTACTTTCGGGGCTGCTCCGTGAATTTCTTTGCGTGTAATCGCTAATTTCATAATTTCGCATAAAAATTAGATCGCATGAGTGACGGCGTTTTCAGATCGGTCTTAATTATGTGTATTTACCAATTTCCCCTGTTGCCGAATCGAGATTGTTGGGATTTATGGTGTTCATAAGCCTATAAAATTTCATTTTCCAATCATATTTCTGCCAAGCTTAACTATGTGCATTATGACGTGAGCCCTATTATGCATATATTCTTATGCACTGAAAAAAAATTCTCGGCGTTTTTACCAAGGTCCATTGGTACCTTTACAATCTCACTTTTTTTTTACCAATTATTGGTAATTTTACCAACACAGACTGGTAAGCTTACCTAAAAACCGGCATTTTTACTGTTTTCTCGGGTAAGAATACCACTTTTATTGGTAATCAATTCCCGGTAACATTGCCATTTTATCTCGGTAATTCTACCACAGTCGATAAAAAATATTGGCGTTTTTACCGGGGTTCAGTAAAATTACCGAGAAAGTTAGTAATTATACTGAGATTTCTCGGTAAAATTACCAATTCCATAAATGGTAATTTTACCGAGAAAAAACTGGGATCAAATAGAACCCTAAATTATTGGTAATTTTACCCTTTTCTTAGTAAATTCACCGATATTTTTTTTTCAGTGTGGGTCTCAGGGCTCATGTCTTAATGCACATAGTTCCGTTTGGCAGAAATACGTCCAAATGATAGTGCACCCTTGTCCTACATAAGTTTTACAGCTAAAAGTATCTGTTGAGTACCTGTGGAAATTCAAACCTTTATTTGTGTTATTTGGACGTATTTCTGCCAAACGAAACTATGTGCATTATGATGTGAGCCTTGTTATGCATATATTCTTATGGGTCTCAGAGCTCATGTCTTGATGAACATAGTTCTGTTTGGCAGAAATACGTCCATTTCGAGTGTAAGTAGCTGTTTACGCGAACGGAAAAAGAAGAAAGTACTCACCGACAAACGAAACGCTTTTCATGTAGACATAATTCCATGCATTCCTTCCTCGAGAGAACGTGCCGCCTATCCTTTGGGTTGACGACGAGCTCTTGACCCTTGACTATTTCGAAAATCCAAGGTCGCCTACAACTATGTTTGTTTTTTAAGCAAATTTTTTGTGCGAAGAGCGTGAAAACCGGGAACTGGGATTTGCTTAGCGCATCTGAAACAAGTAAAACAAACAAAATATTTAATATAAAAAATATTTGGCTTTTTATTTATTACATTAAATTATATTCAGAATTTTCGTACTGTGAAATAGTTGCCAGCTACATAGTTTATTTGTGGTTTTTTGGTGATAGGAAGGACGGCACCATTAATTAGTCGAGTTAAGAGAGAAATCAAACACGCAATTTGGCTTAGAACGGCGCAGCCCAGGGAGCAGTAATGACGAGGACTTGAGATGAAAAGGAGAAGCCCTCGGCGCGGCAGTCGGCATGAAACACATACTAGCGCCTACAAGATTGCATGAATACTTCACGCATTGCGTCAAACACAGTGCGGTCAGCTGCGGTCGGCGTGAAACACATAGCGCCTACAAGACTAAAGGAATACTTTACGCATTGCGCCAAACACAGTGCGGTCAGCGCGGCGCTGCGGTGGAAATTAAAATTATTAAACCACATTTATGTATGTTCTTCCATAATTTTTTTGTTCATTTCTCATAAATGGAAGGCCTTGTCTACACAGAAATAAGTTTAAGGAACTCAACTTTCGCGCAAAGTTCCGTGAACTTTTGCTAGTAGTGTTGACAGGGCTTTCGCAAAAAACGTGTCCAACACGAGTAAACGCGTTTTATGCACCCCTTCCTTTCCAGCACGTTCACTTGATGACTTTCATTGATGTTTCAAAACGAATGAGAAGGAGGCGGCAAAATACAGGCAACCCATGGGCGGCAAACAGGTAAATCCTGCGCTGTCAAAAGGCGTAAGGTTTGAACCCCGATAGTGGCGAATTTTCTCAGATCATCTGCAGAAAGAGATCCTGCTAAGCCTTATCCATGAACATTTGGATAGCCTGGTAGATGGATGTTCCTGTCTCTGATGTCTGAAGACATTAAGTAGACACTAGATTTCACTGAGGGTTTCTAACGGTGTGTGAGTCATTAAACCAATAGGGAAAAAAATGTTTCGACTTTGCACGCCATATCATTGTGGCAACCACGCCGAGCAGCGAGGAGTTGAGAGGCACCCAAACAAAGGCACGGATAAAAGGACTATTCTTCCACGTGTGGTCCAGAGAGAAGTGCTCGAGACACCTTAATGAGATTGACTCCTCAAAAGAGCGATCGTGCGACCTGACAGGCGGAGAGTGTGAAAATGAAAGAGCCGCCCAACTGAGCCGAAAACCCAGTGCCGCCGGCAAGGTTGGCCCGATCCCGATGATTGCCGACCCGGGGGAGGGGGAACTTTCGCGACGATGAGATCCCGACTCGACAGAACAATTGTTTAATTAGGATTAATGGTCGGAAACGTGACTTACATCAACGGTCCCGGGTTCGAGTCTCGACGTCGCCGACGTCCGACACTCGTCGGGGAACGCTGCCGGCCCGAGGAAAAACCACTCAACTCCGCGTTGAAACCCCGCGCGGATATGAGGTTATGGTTCAGCATGGCAGAACGGTGTTCCCGATGTGAAAAGCGTGTCCGACACAGACACGGACGTGACCCGCCGGACCCCGCCGATGTCCAGATCGTCGGCGAAATAACCGCCGTCGAGCGGCCGGGAGCAGTGGTGGAAAACGCTGTTTTTCGCGCCCTGTTTGCCACCGTCCGATTTCGCTTCATTTTCTTGACCCGCGCCACCAGGAGTGCGAAATTCGAGCTACTTAGCAACGAAGCTCTAATCCTGCATTGCCGGCAAAGGTGATTAAGGATATCTCTCTGGTAGATCTTATATTACGTTCCGTAGGTCGATCGGTTGATAAATTCATGTTAAGTGCGAAACGAAGGTGTGATTTTTCGGTGCAGACCCCACCTAAAATCGACGAGAACGATCGGTTGCGTTAGTTTTTTCTTATTCTTGGCGAGAAAGGCCCTGCCGAAAAGTGGACTAATGAGAATCGAATATTGCAGATGGAACCCCACTAAATACTTGATTGAAAGGAAACCAACACGACTAAGCGCTCTTCTCGAGGAGTGGATCGGATTTCAGGATTTCTTGGAGTCCAGTTCTAGGCTAACTCTCTGCCCAAGGGTTACTACTAACGGAGGCTGAATCAGTAAAAAAACATGACGGCTATGGGGCCAAAGTAGGGTTTCTTTAAAAATTCGGATGTAGATAGACTTGTTTCGCGTATCTCTACTCCAAGCGAGAATCACGTCACGAGCAAGAAGTCTATATCTACAACAAAATAGTGCAAAATCACGGATTTGCTTCTAGCTTCACCTGGTATCGTTTGGGATTTGTTGTGCCACGGTAATTAATCCAGCCTCTGCATGAGACTTTTAAGCCAAAATTGTCCTAAAGGCAGGAAGCATCTTCTTAAGGAGGTCCATGTAACGAGGCAAATCCCGTTTCTTCAGAGGCACATACGTCCTCTGGTATAAGAAAAGCCAACGTTACTGTAGTTGCCGGAATGAGCTCGCCGGGATCCCTACACAAATTTCCTGTTTTTTGAACTTTCCAAAATTGTACGTTTTACTATGAAAAGGGGCATTTTTCCAAATTTTAAATATTTGAACGCCTGGGCAAAATTTTCCCAAGCTGAACCATGTAAATATCAGGTCAAACTTTAAATTTTATGTATCAAAATTTTCAGTACAAATGTGAAGATCGCGTTCCAAGAACTTGGAAGCGATTTGGTGGGCTTATGAGTCAAAATGTGATCCTACATCCTCCTCCTCCTCTCTCCTCTCTCTTCTATTCTACATCTTTTCGGCTGAGGTGCACATTAGTGAGTCGCATCTCGCCGAGCGTACTGTCCACTTCATTTTCCTCTTTTTTCTTCTCCTGTGCTGAGGTGTACGTTAGTGAGTCGCATCTCGCCCAGTTTCACTTTCTCCCCTCTCACCCCGAACTTGTATCCTGTATTCCTGGAATCTAAAGCCTAGAGGTGCACGTTAGTGAGTAGCATTTCGGCTTCCCTTTTATTTTAAATTTCATTTGTAAAATATTTCCTAACGTATAAGCCTAGAGGTGCACGTTAGTGAGTAGCATTTCGGCTTCCCTTTTATTTTGATTTCATTTCTAGGATTTTATCGTCGATTGTAAAATATTTCCTAACGTATAAGCCTTGAGGTGCATGTTAGTGAGTGGCATTTCGGCTAAATTATTATCATCGTTGTGAGTGTAGGTTGGGTAGGATCCTCACAAATTTAGCTAATAAAAGGACATTCTTTTTGTAAATTTGAGACACGAGATTTTTGATCATTCTTCCCCTCTTCCAAACTCATTCATTTTTTAAATTGGCGCCCGAATCCAGGATCCCGGCGAGCTCATTCCGGCAACTACAGTAACGTTGGCTTTTCTTATACCAGAGGACGTATGTGCCTCTGAAGAAACGGGATTTGCCTCGTTACAGTCCAAAGGTAAGTCGTCCTGTTAGCTCAATTCCATCCATTTTGTTTCTTCGTGAGAGTCAAAGACAAATTGTTCTCTAGATTCTGAATTAGAAGCCTCTCACAATAGCAGATTAAGCAAATTAGTAGATTTACAAGCAAGAAACCCAAAGACTGAATTTTGATTATTTGGTCACTCGGTACTTTTCTCGCAGATCATCACAAATTGTGAAAATTTGTGTTTATTATGTGGCGAAATTGACAACTACTTGTGCGTATTTAAATCATTGTAAGACAAGAAGTAAAAAATGAAAAAATCCTAATAGTTCGTGAGAAACTTTCCGTCTACATATGCTCTCGAGGAAATCTAGTAGCCAATTCCAGATCCCTGACAGTGGTAATCATACATATGTCTGATAGATCGGTACACGCAAATTTAACATTGCGGGGAGTGGGAGTCTAGGTATACCGACTTCTATATTTTTTTAAGGTGGATGTACATATACAGCCGCACAGTCTCGTACCAGACCTTTTCCCCCAAGTGCGTCCAGCGTTTAACGATGGCTAAACCGCGGAAACGCGTCTCGCCAGGCACTCCATGCACAAGATAGTTAGAAAACACTATTATAAATCAAACAACTATGCTTAAGTGAAGAGTGAAGACTGAAGAGCCTTTCGTTCGGGCTGTCACGATCGGCAAGATAAAGCTCGAAATGGCCCGAACATCCAGCGTTCAACATGCGATGGGCGCAAACAAAATCCTTCCCGGTTCCCGGCGCTTCGCTACCGCCATCACCGCACCGCATCGTTCCGGTTCCCCACCATCTTAAGCTAAAACCACCCAACTCCAGCGCATTCCATATGTCCGTATGCTGTTTCCGCCCAGGATGGTAGTCTTGCGGCAAGCCGGAACGGAAAAATTCACCAACAGACACGCAACGGAAATCGTAATTCACTCGGCTCTCAGGCATTGCACCGCTACAACACTTTTGAGAATTTGCTCGACTCCCTCGCCCCCCCTCCCCCCATCGCAGGGGCTATGGGAAACCGCAAGTTCAGATTGTTTAGACGATGTTCACGGCGTGTTGAGGGATTCGCGATGCTTGTGTCCCCGCCCCCGCGACCCCTGCCTCATCGCGAAAATCTAAGTGCTTTTAGATGACATTCCTGCCCGGCCAATTCCGCCGTGCTGAGGTAAAACGCCGTATGAGTCTTCAGGCGTTGCCAAATTTCCTTCGATAAAACACGAATTTCCTGGTAAACTTATGAATATTTCCCTTCCGATTTTTGGGATAATTTTGATCACAATGTCACCTGAAGTTCCTGAAAATTTCATGGACAAATATTCATAACTTGCCTAGAAAATAAACATTTTATCGAAAGCAATTTGGCAACTCTCCGATGTCCGTACGGCGTTCTTCCTTAGCGCGGCCAATTGAAAAATGAGTGAGGCGCCCAAGGATATTACGAAGTAAATAAAGCGTTTTAGCATGAAAATGACCGCGTGGTTTGGGGCCATGGGACCATAATTCCAGAGATCGGTGTAAGAGATATTGCGGGTTGTTAGGATTGAAGTGAAGCACCTGACCTGAATGTTGGCGAATTGAGGATTCCGATCGTGGTGTAAAGGTGATGGAAATGAAAAGCGGTGCGCTTCACTCCT